AGAGATTTTTTTTTATTTTTAATACTAAACTATGGTTTCAAAGTATTTAACAAATAGTAAATATCAAAATTTTAATATCTTCATTTATTCTGAAATGGATTCTTATTTTAATAACAATAGAACAGTAACAAAAGATAATTAAATTTACTATTTTTTTTGGGTTGCTTTATTTAATAAAGTTTGATAACTAACTTTTTTTAAATCTTTAAGTGTATAGTTTGCTAACTAATTTTTTTTAATTTATAAGATTATAGAAAAGTTAATATAATGGGCCTGATTTACTGTTCTTGTAATATATTCTTTTTGAATTAAAAGTAATATTTGGACACACTATTAAGAGGTTATATAGTTTTTTTGATTAGTAAGTAATTCTAATATTATATAAGATGCAGAATTAATAATAAAACTTATATTTTTATATATATTTATGTAGAATAACTTATGTAATCTAATCTTTGTCAAAAATAATCAAAAATAATACAATATATAATTTATAAAAAATATACAATTATTTTTATATTAGTAATAATAATAAATATTAAAATTTTGATATTTAAATAAAATAAAAAAACCAAAAAAAGATACAAAATTGTATAAAATATTATAATCTAAGAAAATTTTTTTTGTTGTATTATTTATAATCACCAATATATAGTAATAAAAATTTTCTTATTTTCAAATACTAGCTATTATAAATAATAATAATGTAATAAAAAAATTTGATCATATTATTTTACACAATTTCAGCTATATTTATTGGTTTTTTTTTATTTACAAATAGTAATATTTTTATTAATAAAAAAGATTAAAAAATTTAATGATTAAAATTTTTCATATAAGTTTTATTTTAATTGATATGATGTTTTATTTTCGCTTGTTTTAATAGCAATATGACTGAAGACAACTAAAGAAGTGTAGTATATAACAAAAAGTAGTAATATAAAAAAAAATTTTTTTCTATTTATTATATCAATATAAAATAATGACTTGAGTCATTATTTCAAGATATATTGTTTAAAAATTAATTTATCTGAAGAATTTTAATAACTAAAAATTATAATTTTTATTTGTTTAAATTAATAATTAGCTCTCTTTAAAAACTGTATTTTGAAATAATACTTCAAAATATTATTTTTAATAATATAGTAATAATTTTTGGTTGTTACTATTTGGTATAGTCACTTTAGGCTAGGGGCTTGTAAATTATTTATTTTTATAATCTAGTCTAATTTGTATTTAGTTTTAAATTTTTGTTGTTAATCTAGTTTATATTTAGTTTTAAAAATTTTTTATTAGTCTGACTTAGTTTATATATATATATATATATTTGTATTAAAGTCTCTATCTTCTATATTTAGACCAACTTACTATATTTGATAATTTATACTAACTGAACTAGAAACACATCTCTCTTTATATTTATAAAATTCCAAAAGGCAAACAACTCCTCTGGTTTACCTATTTAGAAGATTAAGTTACAAGTTATTTCTATAATTGTACACTATACTCATACTTATATCTACCTAATATTAACTACAATAGCTACACAACTGAACACTTTTTATCATATAAAAAACTCTGGCTTATTACAGTACTTAATAACCAAATTATTATTAGTAAAGCCAGAAAACAACCTTCTCAATCTGGCACTGTACTTATTACTTACTAACAATGTCAAATTGAATCACAATTTATCTGCTTATATTTACTTGTATTTATTCAATCAAAGCCATGTTCTGGTTGTTCACTTAACTCACATACAATCAATAACAAATGTACAATTACTATTCCTACTAATTTTTCAACTCAATTTTTTGGTCAAGTTAATACAAATAACAAAACTCTTATCTTTAATGCCAATTATTTGAACCTTTTATACTCAGTTGCAATTAGACACCTTATTTAAACTCCAAGCCTACACAATATTATTATTTTAACAAACTCAATCCCAACTATTTTTGAACTCTGTATACTAACTTATAAACTCCAACAAATTGCTAATTACAACACTAACCAACAAGAACTTCATTTCTATACTAATGGCTTTGTTATTAATTTGGGTACTTCTCAATATTTTATGGACATTAGATGGGTTCAAGTTGACAATAATTCTATACTGCATACATTTTAGACACAAGTCAAACTTTGGTTATGCTCATTTAAATCAGAACTTACTGCTATCTTATCAACTCTTATTACTACTCTTAAAAACTGTATTATAAATATATATACAAACTCTCAATCTGTAATTTCAAAATATCAAAACTTTTAAATTCCTCTACTACTCTATCATATACATATACATCATACTTTTTACTTTGAAACACACTTGTCAACTTTATTAACTTGTACAAAATTCAAATCACCTTTCACAAAGTCACTGCTTATTAAAATAATAAATATAATAATTTAGCTAATCAACTTGCATGTAACTATTATAACCTGCCATATCTTACTTTCATGCTATATAATATTTATAACTTAGCTTATACTCTTATTCTTGAGAATTTTTCTCTTAAACTACCAACTTATCACAGTATTCATACAATTTGTCATGCATATATTTATGCATTATGGATTACTCAAGCTGCTTTCTTAAATTGAAAAAATTTCTTAACCAAATTAACTGGCAAGCCACTTGGCTATATATCAACAATAATCAAAAAATTTTAAACTTCTCATATAGCTTTCAATCATCTAATCTTAAGTTTTTTGGAATTAAAATTTTACTGAATGAACTTTCTGCTTCACACACTTTATACAAACATTATCACTTATATTCACTTACCTGTTACCAATGTCAACACACCAGCTTTTACCTTTATTGAACAACTTGCCTATCTGATCAACTACTAAATAATCTTATAAACAAATCATTACAACCTATTCTTAATATCATTACTCTTAATACTACTTCAGAAATTATAACTAACCTACATCATCAAATCAAACAACTAAACTGCATGTTCAGTTACAATATACCAAACTTATCTTCAATTTCCTTAACTCTATTAGGCTTAGTACCAAATGAAATTATTATTATAGTTGCAGACTTATTATCTACAAAAATATTTATAATACTTATTACTAAATTCTTACTTTATTTTAATCAACAAAATTATTACAAAATTTGGATTTCTTACTATATTTTAAGATCTATAATTCATCTTCTTACTTCTAATTTATCTTTTAATTCTATTTCACAATTAGTACAAACTTCTTCTCTTAATACTATTAGCTCTAAGATTAATTCTTGGTATATACAATGAATTAAATATCAAACTAATCTCTTATACATTATTACTAATACCTAAATCTAGATGAGTCTTAGCTACTTCAGTTGGTTTAGGTTACAAATAAATTAGTCTAAGCTTCTATTCTTGTTATAATATTTTAAAAGTAGATTTAAACTTTATATAAAAATCCCAGTTAAATATTCAAAAAAGATAGAGACATGGCCTTATTATTAATATTAAAAAAAAAAAAAATCAAATTATTATAACAATATTTAATACAATTCATATCTCTTTCACATTTACAATTTCTTAAATAAATTATTAATTTTGAATGCAAAATACAAAAAAAAAAAAACTACTTTAAACTAAATATTAATACTCAAGAAATTCAAGCACTTTAAAACATTTATGCCAAATTATATAAACCTATTCTGCAAACCTTTTTAACATTTTTATTACCTTCAAAAATTTTTTTAATTTAAACCATAATATTTAATCCTATATATCAAAACCAACTCATAGGTCTTTACAAAAAAATTTTATTTCTTAACTCAAACAATCTATATTTCTATATAGATGCCTTAATAATAAACTTACAAATACAAAATATCTCTATTGGTATTGCATGAATACTCAAAAATAATATACAAATCAAATTTAATGTCTCTATAACTTATGCACCAAACTTTACAAAAACAGAATTAACAGCTCTAATTTTTTTTTTCTTTTTTTACTTTCTAATTATCAAATTTATATTAAAATAACAGTTTATCTACTATTTAAACTCTTATATATTCAATATTTTATAATTACAACTTACAAACTAAACAAAATAACTAAGATATTTTTTATATCCTAAACTTTTTAACTAAATCTAAAAATATCAACTATATGATATATAAGGTCAAATCCTACTTAAATAATACTTTATATAATATAGTAGATGCTTTAGCTAAACACAAAACCAACAAAATGAATTTAAACTTAATCTAAACTACTTCTATTTTTTTTACTTTTTTTACTTAAAATCAAATTTCAATTATATACAAATTATGTAAATTTTATAAAAACCTACTCTTAATTCAAACATTTAACAAACTCTTTCAACTTAAACCATTAAGAAATTTTATTACTATAAATAATTAACTACTAACTGAAATTATTAATTCTTAAAATTCCATTCCTAACTTAAGGTAAAAAAAGGTAATTTGATGCACTTAAAAATTGGTAATAATAAATTTATTCTTAAAAAAGCTGAATGCTTACAAAGTTTATAAAGCTTATACTTCTATTTATATACTTTAATTAAATAAAAAAAGAGCAACTTTTATAATAATATACAAGTTATTTTATTATTCATTTAAAATCATTAAAAAAAACAAAATTTTAAATTTGAAAGGTAAATTGGCACATTATTATTCAATAGAATATCATCTAGTCTAACCAAAATATAATTGTTACTATTGCACAAATGTAATCTTATATCACTTATTAATGCTTTCTAGTATTTTAGCATTATTTTTTTTCTTAATACTCTTAGTTTTTGCTTATTTTTCTATCTTGTTCAAGTTATGTTCTGTTCTCTTTTAAGTGGCCATTTCTTTTTTTTGTTTAGCTTTCTTAGCCTTCTTTTTTGCCAATTTATCTGCTTCTCTTAGAGCTTCTAATGATTTGTCATTAGTGAAAAGTCTGACAAACAGTAATGTTTTTTTTTTTTTAGTTGTAAAGTTTTACTAGTCACAACCTTATTACCAGATAACAAGCATGACGCAAGATACTTTAATACTAGTTTTAATAAGAAAGTATTAGGATTCTTAAATATTTCTAGTTCTTCTTATAGTGCAGTATAATTTTATTTTATTTCATCTAATCATTGAATTTCTTTTTTAAAATGCTTATTTTCTACTTTTAAAAGCTCCATTTCTTTAGAAACATTGGCATGGTTTAAATATACATAGTTTAATTGTAAAGGTATACTATCTAATGAAGATAGTGATAATGATGATAATGATGATAATAACAAAGATGATATTGATGAGCATAATGGTAATGAAGATAATAATTATAATAAAGATGAAGATAATAATTGTAATGAAGATGATTTTAATAGGGCTAATAGTAATAAAGATGATTCTAATAGGGCTAATAGTAATGAAGATGATTATAACAAAGATGTTGTCAATAATGGTGATGATAATAAAAATGATTATAATAAAGATGATGTTAATAATGATAATTGTAATAAAGACAATAATGATGAAAAAGGTAGAAGATTAGGTTTTTTAGTTACTAATGAGGAATTAAGCCAATCAGCACTAATAGTATTAGAGTTGAATGACCAAATTCCTGTAGCCCTAAATGCATTAATAATTATTTCAGAAGTATAAGTTTTAATGAATGCCAGTTCAAGTATCCTAGCAAAGGAATGCTTTGTTACTAATTTACTACTAATGTTATGAAGCTTTCATAATTCTCACTATATTCTTTTTTAAGATTGGCAAATAGAAGTTCAGCTAACTGAAGAATATGAGTAATGTATGATAGAAACATATATAAAAAGATATTATTTTTATAGCAAAAATTAACATACATATAGTTAATATAACTCTTATATTTATTAAGAGTTAGAAGAACTGGGCAAGAGGATGATATTAAATTAACAAAATGTTTTATATACATATTAAAAATACTTTTTTTTATATATCCAAAGTTAGTAAATTCTATTATCTACCAGATGATGCTCCAGTTAGTAAACTAGAAATTGCATAAATATCTTTATAAATAAATAATAGCAGTATATAGCCTTCAGTAGCTGAAATGATTGGAGCAAATAAAATATGCTTATATATATTGCTATAAGTAATTTTATAAACTTGGCAAACACCCTTCTTAGCAAGAACCTTTTAAACTTTGGGAGTAAGAATGAAACCAGTTTTATTCATATTCCATATTTGTTCACAGTAAGTGAGTTTTCTTTAATAATTTTTTCAAGTTTATTAAAATAGTCCTTTATAATTACAGGATTAGCTCATTGTGCTCATGTTTCAGATAAGACTTAAGGTACTTAAAAAGAAAGCTTAAAATGTTCTTTTATAAAGCATGCCCATCAGTCTCAACCAAGCCTCTTGTTATTAAAAGAATTTTCATAATTAGAATTATATATAATTTCTATTACACAATGGTTTACACTAGATCATGTTAAACCAAATTTTAAACTTTGTATATTCATGCAATAGCCTACAAGTTGTGCTTCCTCATAGTTACTTAAAACTGTAGGATGGCCAGAACAGTTAAGCATATCATTATCCTTAGTTATACATCTTAAAGTTGATTCTGCAATTCCAAATTTTAAAGTGGTTGCATATATACTAGAATGTTAAGGACTGGCAAGTTTATTAAAAGCAGCTTTAATAGCATTTTCATGATCAACTCGACTAAATTTCTTGGTATTGGATTTTCTTAATTTGAGTTTTAGTATGATTTTAGTGTTAGTTACAGTTTGGAGATTGGTATTCATTTTGTTTTTGTATAAATGTTTTGTTATTTGATTTTATTTATTTTTTATATTATTTTTTTTTAAAAAAAAAATAAAAAACAAACATAGTTATTTAAATATAATCATGATCATTGTATTAAGATAAACAATTATATTTTTAATGAAGAAAAACATAAAGACAGATTAATCTTTAAATAATTATGTTTACAAAAAAAATAAATTACAGTATAGTTTATTGTTCATAGCAAAAGCAAATTTTTTAGCTTTTGTCTATTACTATTTAATTACAGTATAGTTTATTGTTTATAGAGAGTAAATTTTTTACATTTTTGTTTATTACTAGTCAATTGTTAGTTTACTAACATTAAGCATTACTAATAAGGTTTTTTTTAGCTACTATAATAATTAAAATTGATTTTAATAGCTTTAAACTTAATGCAATATATATATAAACACAATAAGGCTTTTTTATTATTATTTTTTATTAATTAAATATTCTAAATTTAAAGCTTTTATTTTTGTTAACTAATATGGTACATACATATATATAGATTTAATTATAAAATTAATAACTATCACCTTTTAAATAAAGTTACTAACTAATTTTAATAGTTTAATAATCATATCTGCATCAATAATAACTTGTGTTTTCAATAATTCTATTAAGAAAAAGTTTGAAAGTGATAGAAAAAGTAAGTGCTATCAAATTTATAATTGTATGCAATTACGATCATTGCTGTTTATAAATTTGATGATGTGTTTATTATAATTACATTTTTAATAAGTTATTTTTAACAAAATGATTTTGAACAAAGACATTTCACTAAAAACCAATAATTGATAAATAGTCTATATAAACAATATTAAAAATGCAATTTGCTATCCATTTTGCTATAATTTAACCTGACAAATAGTCAGATCACATCTCTTTAAACATTCATTAAACATATTATTTTTTATTAATTTATTAATACTTTTCACTCAACATGATGCTGCCTAGATGAGATCTTTTATATAAAAAAAAAACTTATTAAAAAATGCATCATTCAATAACCTATTACAAGACATAAAGATACAGAAAGATGATCTATTATCAAATACCCATCAATCATTAAATACTTGTCTTAAGACATAAAGATACAGAAAAGGTGACCTATTATCAAATATCCAAAATAGCAAAAATTAAAGCATTGTTTAAGAGAGACCAACTTATTAAAAAAGAATAAATTTCAGAGATTGTTATGTTTAAAAAATTGTTTTTTAAAAAATGTTGGTATAAAAGTATATTATTACAGTCATATATTCAATTTATTTTTGTAATTGCAATAACAAAACTTTTTAAGATATATTAAGTAAAAATTATATAATAAATATAAAACTCTGTTATCATAACAAAATCATATATACATGTACTATAGCTAAACCTATGACTTATTAATTGTTAATTATATTATACTATAATGACTACATATTTGTCTTAAAACCAAGTAAGATCTACAAAAAAAATTATTGTTTTTTAGAAAATTTTAAAAAAAACAAACTCAAAAAAAAATTTTGATACTTATTATAGACAGATCCAAACACATTTTTTTAGAATGTTTATCCAAGTTCACTTATTTCACTATTCTGATATTAATTTGTTTTGAAACTATACAGAGCTTACAGAATAAAAAGTCTAGTATAAAAAAAACATATACAAAAAAAATGAAAAAATTAGTACTTATTACAAACTGATTTAAAGTCTAATTCCTATTCCTACCAAGTTTACTTCTTTGAGAATCCTTTTTTCAAGATTGTTCTTGACATATATTGTATATAGTCCTGTATTTTTGCACAATTAATCCTTTGGAACTGTTATAAATAAAAGATCTACATATTTGGAAATTAGAAAAAATGTTAACAGTTAAAAAAAAAAAAAAGCCAATAAATCAACCAATTAGCAAATAGGTTTAAAATAATTTTAATGCTGCAGTGAAATTATATAATAATATAGATCAATTTTCTTTACAAATAATTATTTTATACAAACCAAAATTTCTTACTAAGAAAATTGAATTTTATTCACTAAGTAAAGTTATTGGTAATACTGTTTTATAGATATTTTCAAATTTTGAAATGATTTGGTTAATTTTTCATTAATCGATTTTCATGTTATACATTTGATGCAAAAAATAAAATTTTTGTTCAAGATGTATAATATAAAAATTGACTAATAAAAAGTTAATTAAATTGCATCAAATTTTAAAAATATCTAAAAAATAGCATTTCCAATAACTTTACTTAGTGTATAAAGTTCGATTTGCTTAGTAAAAAATCTTGTTTTTATAAATTATTTTTGATGTGCCAAATTACTTCTTTGTGTCATTATACCTTCATATCTAATATTTCTTTAAAAACAAAATATTGCTTAACAATCTATTAACAATAGCTAATTTAAATACTTGCTATCTTACATTCTATTTAACTTCAAATTGCTTATATTGTAATTAATATAAAAATACTAAACATCTATTACAATGTTCTCTTTATTTATATAACTTATATAACATTCTTATTAACAAAATAACTAATACTTTAGACTTATTAAACTTATCAAAAACATTATTATATACAATAGCACAAATTTTAAATTTATAAAACTCCTCTTTAAACTTCAATACAAACAATATATTACTATTACTTACTCAAAGAACATTAATTTTAGATCATTATAAATAATTACAGTTTATTTTAAAAAACTTAACTAATAATTTTCTTATTTTTTTATTAAATTTATTATTAAACTAGTTTAATTTTGCTATATAGTAAACTTGAAATATTAAACAATATAAATGTAAATTAGTACAAGAAATTACTATCTTAGCAAAAAAGAAAAACAATATTTATTTTTTTATCTTAAAACCATCCAACTTTAATAATACTACTTTTATTTTAATACTAATATAAAATCCTTTATTTTCAAAACTTTTTTTCAAAATTTTACTATATATACTTGTTTTTATTAATTTAATAATTCTAAAGATTTTTTTTACTTATTCTGTAATTAAATATTAACAATAATTAATTTTAACTAATAACAAAAAATAAGAGAATAATATTATACTAAATGTAGTTTATATAGCAACAATAGTATAGTTTAGGAATAATTTTCTAGTTATATATTATATATAATTGATATATTTATATATTATTATTTTTTCTACTTGATATTATATTAATAATATATATATATATATACAACTAGTTATATATATAAATTTTAATTATCTATTTAAATAGTTTATTTATAAGTTCTATATTAGTTATTATATCTATAATTTACTAAAAAATTACTTATTAATCTTTATATTATATTAGATAAATAATATTAACCTCTTGTATATTTAAATGTTATTTAATTTAACATTTAGTTTTTTTTCTATATATTTGTAAAGTTATTATCTATTTTAGAGAAATGTTATATTGTTAACCTTCAAATAGCAAATTTAAAATTCAAATTTCAGTATTAATAAAAATTTAAAATGCTTTTTGTATTATAATTAACTATCTTCTGCTATTAGTTAAGATTAGATACCTATTACTCATATTATACTAGTATGGCTAAAAAGTCATATAGCATTTATTCAACAGTTGTAGCTTATATAAAAAAACACAAACTAATACTAGCTAGTGTGAACTTATAATAAGTCTTTGTAGCCATATAAATTACAAAAATCAGGAAAACAAAAGTCTATTTAGAAAATCTAAATAGAAAGATAGTTCAAACTTTTAATAATACTACTATAAAGACTAGATTTATAAAACAGAACTAGAATTTGTAAAGCTAGATGAAAACAAAACAGTCATTAAAAGAGGCTATTGTAATCAGCTATACTATTAAAATCTATTCTA